AGTGGCCTACAAATGGGCTTTGGGTCTCCACTCCGCACTCCCCCTATCATTCTGGGGGGAGGAGCAGGTGTCCACTTAGTAGTTGGGATTGGGGCCAGCCCCCCCTAAGTAATTCTTGAATATATTAATATTGTCACGAGCGGCGTGATCAATAATTACTTAATGTTCTTTGACATTTTTGAATGCTCGGTTTAGTCACTTCAAACACACATCAAACAATCTAACAATCTTAAAATTAACTTGAGTCATTAGCTAGAAGGGTAACACAAGTTTAATTCAGCATCCTATCAGTTCCTGGCCCTTCGTCCCGTTAGGCATGGCCTTCATCGGTGTCCTCGCCTGGGTGGAGTTGGAGAGAGCAGGAGCTGATGGCTCCCCCTTGGTCCCAGCACTCTGAGTTCAGGCTCTCTACCCGGGCCTTTATAGGGGATCTTGCTGGCTCGTTGACGTCCTTCTGGTGTTCGGCCAAGGTCTTATCAAGGTTCCCCGGATGTGTCTTGGAGCGTGTAGGAGCCGATCTGGAAGATGGTTTACTTCTGTTCAGTGAGTCTGCGCTGATGCCACATTTCTCACTGGCTTTAGTCTCTCTCCACATGGAGTCACTTCTGTTCATAGGTGGTGCGTAATTCAGCATCTTGCAATGAAGCTCCACATCTTATACGGTACTTCCCTGTCTTGCCAGGAGTTCCACATCTTGTAAGGTAGTTTTAACACACTCCCATCAAATATGTTAAAAACGGGGACTAAAATGCGAATCGGAACTCGGAGCACAGGAATGTGGTATCAATTTGACTTTCTCTGTGGTCACAAGGCTCTCGCTTGCTTGTCCAAGGGGCGTGTGGTAGTTACATCATTTCATGTCAACTTGATAAATAAGTGTAGGGGTGGAGTCTAGCCTGTTAATCAGGTCACGGCTTGATGATGCTCCTTGTGAGCATGGCCTTCTCATGAGGATTCTGGGAACTTCCTCTCTCTCTACCTTAGTGTTCCTGTTGACAAGCCGCGTGAGGTGAAGACTTGCTGAGCCCTCTGAGTGTCTCTGTCTGCTTCACCTTCCTGTTGAACAGCCACACTCGGGGAGCTGGAGGAGCCACGTGGACCACTGCGTCAGTGGTGAGATGCTTCCACGACCACTAGATCCACAAGACTTTTCACCCACCGGCCTGTGGTCTTCCCACATTCAGCATCATTGCATGAGCTGCGTGAGTCTGAAGAGGAATTTATAGACTAATAATGGACATGTGACCTAATATCGGACTTATAAACTTGATCTGGACTGGGCTAGGATGTTGTTTTCAATATACAACCCAGACTAACACAGGGTATCAAAAAGTTCATGGAAAAATGGAACTAAAAGATAATAGAAATTTTATAATTTTATTTATTTTAAAGACAATTTTAGGGGCACGTGATCCACATTTCATACAATTCAAAAGCTGTCCAAGAGGAGTGGTACAGGCCTCACCACAACTTTTTAAGAACATTTTTTCTTTCTTGTATCATTGTTATTTGCTCCCCATTCCCTCCCAGCCTCCCTGCCGCCCACCCGAGAAACCATTAATCCAGTTACTGCTTCTCTAGATTTACCTATCAGGGATTTCATATACAGAAAAACATTAAAAACAAAACAAAAGCAAACAATAACAAAAATAACAACAACAACAACAAAGCAAAACAGAGAAAACCTCAATCGAAAAGAAAGTAGAAACAAATTTAAAGTACCGTTTTAAAATGGTTCTAAAGCGGTGGTTCTCAACCTTCCTAATGCTGTGACCCTTTCATACAGTTCCTCATGTTGTGGTGACCCCCCCAATCATAAATTTATTTTCGTTGCTACTTCATAACTGTCATTTTGCTACTGTTATTAATCGGGTGACCCTTGTGAAAGGGTTGTTTGACCACCAAAGGGGTCGAGACCCACAGGTTGAGAACCACTGGTCGAGGGGTCAAATGAGAAGGTGTTACATTTTAAGCTAACTGCATCTGCCATCGTCCATTCTCCACAAACCTTCTAAAGCCCCCTGCACAAACTTCAAAGTGAAGATCTTTGCTCCCAGGCTGGTCAGACTTCCAGAAAAGAGGGAGAGGCCTGGCTGGTGGCCGAGTCCCAGGAGGAGAGTTAGACTGCGCCTCTCCACGCCCCATGTCATCAAAAGCTCCTGTTTTCTGTCCCTGCTACCACCGTCAGCTGGGCCGGGGACCTCTGTTGTACTGGCACCAAGAAGAAGCTTCCAAGTCTGCTGGGATCGAGGGGGTGGAAGACAGGGCTTGGCTGGATTCTTTGCCCCTTCCAGAAGAACACTGGGCTGGGGCCAATCACGTCAGTCCCTGCTTTCCCACGGACAGCCTGGGAGCTGGCTTTCTAGACAGTGGTTCTCAACCTTCCTCATGCTGCGACCCTGTAATACAGTTCCTCATGTTGTGGTGACCCCCCAACCATAAAATTATTTTCATTGCTACTTCATCACTGTACTTTTGCTACTGTTATGAATCAGGTGGCCCCTGTGATAGGGTCGTTCGCCCCCCAAAGGGGTTACGACCCACAGGTTGAGAACCACTGTAGAGCATTATTCCACCTGCTTTCCCAGCTCCCCCGGTGCAGATCCTGCTGCCTCCTCTCTGGTTTTCATCATTTGCTGGACAGGTGTCTTAAAAACCCTTCTTACCATGCAGTTTCCAGGGAAGCAAGTATAGCTTCAACCCCCCATTTCTATGTGCCCTCACCATAGTCTTCTGGGGGTTGCCCACGGTCAAGGGAACCAGAGCCAAGACTTGTCTCTAGGGCTGTCTGCTTTCCAGGTCCAGCCCCCTGGCTCCTGGACCTCTGGGCACGCAGGCAGGCATCATGGGGCAAGTCCCAGAATCCTAGGGGCCGAGAGCAGGGGGCAGGGCCAGGGCGTTGGACAAACAGACCAAAGGTGAAAACCGTGTAAGCCACAGACCAGGCCTGGCTAACGGGACCAGCATGCCAGCCATGAGGTGGGTGGGAGGTCCCCCCAGCTTCCTGGCCAGCGTGAGGGGTGATTGCAAGGCTGGGTCCTTACTCCCCTGCCCTGCCATCAGCTTGCTGGCCTTCCTGGCCCTGCTGTGTGGCATGGCAGCCGCAATCCCGGCTCCCCGCTGGCCTGAGCCTATGTTTGGGCGCCTGGCGTCTCCTGGCTTCCCAGGGAAGTACCCCAACCAGCAAGAGCAGAACTGGACCCTGGCGGTGCCCCCCGGCTACCGCCTGCGCCTCTATTTCACCCACTTCGACCTGGAGCTCTCCTACCTCTGCGAGTACGACTTTGTCAAGGTGCCACGTGGGGCCATGGCCGGGGCCTGGGGTGGGGGTGGGTGGGGGCAGAGTCACCCTAGGAGCAGGGTCTGGCCTCAGCCAGGAGAGAGGGCTGACCTTGCTGGGACCTCGCCCTGCCTTGCCGTGACTCTGAACCCCACAGCTGAGCGCGGGGACCAAGGTGATGGCCACGCTGTGCGGTCACGAAGGCACTGACACGGAGCAGGTGCCGGGAAACACTGTCTTCCACTCGCCCCCGGGCGCCAACCTGGAGGTCACCTTCCGCTCCGACTATTCCAACGAGAAGCCTTTCACCGGCTTTGAGGCCTTCTATGCAGCCGAGGGTGAGCCAGGCCAGCCGGGCCAGGGCGGAGTCTCGGCAGGTTTCCTGCAGGCTGCCCGCCTGCCCCAGGAAGGGCCCTGGGCCCGACCTCATCCGCTGTGCAAACACGCATGCTGCCACTTCTGAGCCAGGGTCGGTGTCAGGGACCCCGTCACCTCTAATCGTCATGGCCCCCTGAGATGCAAGGGCCGAGTGACCCCATGGCAGGCTGGAGTGTGCAGTTCTTTTGGGAAAGCCCTGCCAGGCTGCAGGGTTAGCCAGGACTCACTGCAGGGCCCCGGGCCAGGTTGAGGGCTGTGCTCGGCCACCAGTCAAATGCGTGGCACCCACCCAGTGGCACCTCAGGAGGGAGCCCCGGTGGTGGAGCGCTTACACATTGGGCTGCGATCCGCGTAGTTCGGAGGGTGAATGACTGAAGGGCAACCGCGGAGACCCCCAGGGGGTCGCCATGAGTCAGCGTGGACTTGATGGCGGTGAGCTTGGCGTGGTTGAGCAGCACCTCAGAAGAAAGGCCCGGTGACCCTCCGCCACCCAGGTGCCAGGCAAGAGAACCGTCTAGATCAGTTCTGGATCACTGCGGCCGTGAGGCAGGAGCGGTTCACAGGCCGTGGCGTGGCGTCTGTGGTTGGTCCGGTGTTTGTTTTAGCACCTGCAGCACCACCCACCTGGTCTGACGCCTGGCTGTTCCCTTCCCAGGTTGGGTCACCTCGGCAGGACACTACGGCTCCTGGGGCCTTAGCGGCTCCCTCCAAGGGTGCTGGGAGGTCACCGCGGTAGGGCCTGTGGGGGCTTCCATTCCTATCAGCCACGGAGTGAGAGTCAGACGACCCCCGGGGCTCAGGCAGCCCCTGGCCTGCCCCGTTGATCACTCCCCTGGCCTGCTTCTCCGCTAGACATTGACGAGTGCCAGGTGGGCCCGGAAGAGCCGCCTGCCTGTGACCACCATTGCCACAACTACCTTGGTGGCTTCTACTGCTCCTGCCGCCCTGGCTATGTGCTGCACAAGAACAAGCACACCTGCTCAGGTGAGTGGGGCCTGGGGGCCAGGTAGCTGTCCCCAGGTCCCTGCCCGACACCACAGGGCCCTTGGGCTGGAGGACCTGCTTTGGGACTGGCCTCCTAGCCCTCCTGTTTCCACCTCTTCTCTGAACCCCAAGCCCGGCCCCTCTTTCCTGCGGTCTCCTCCCTTTCTGCTGCTCACTGCTCCCCACTCTGTGGCCCTGTCTCCCAGGGTGGGGGGACCTAAGTCTGGCTCCTCTGGCCACCTCAAGCTTACAAAACCCCCTTTGTCCCCTAACCCTTGGGGAGGGGAGGGGGGCATGCATGCATTGGTCTCATGGCTGAACTTCCCTCCTGTTGGCCAGGCTCCTGGACCCCAAGCCCATTCGTACCCCAAGCCCTGAGCCTCTCTGTCTCTCCCTGTCTCTCTCCTGTCTTCCAGAGCAGAGTCTCTAGCCCCTCCCGGGGCTCGGCTTGCCTAGTGGGCCAGAAGCCAGAGGACCCCACGGCCTGCAGCCCCCACTGCCCCCACCCTGGACATGACAATAAACCCAGCTTCCCTCCTGATGCAGTTTGTCTCTGGAGTTGAAGGGGGCCAGGCGGGCAGCTAACTTCTCAGACCCTGGTCCCCTCGCCCCCCTTGCCTCCCTCTCGCCCACACTGCAGCCCAGGGGCCCCCTCTCCACAGCAGCACAGGCTCCTCTGCGGGTTCCGGACAGCTGGCTCCAGCCCCGTGTTGAAGATGGGGGTTGGGGTCGGGCTGTCACCCTGGGGCCTAGAGCTGAGGGGCGCATCCCTGGACTGCTTCTTGTGCAGCGAGGAACTCAGGTCCCGGGTGCTAACCAGCGTGGTCCACTGAGGGAGTGCTCACCCAGGGGGGCAGTCTGGCCCCCAAATCCAGCTGGCAGCTCCTTCTGCTCCCTTAGGGAAAAAGGAGTGCCAGGGTGGGGGTCCTCACTTCCTAGAAGCATGCACCCTAGCCCCTTCTGCTGCCCTAGGGTCAGGGACAAGGGGGTGGTGGGAGGAGGGTGTGGTCAGGGTGGGGTTGCCAACCCCTCCCCTGAATGATGGAGTCCCAAGCTCTCACCAGCGCTCCCCAAGAGGAGGGAGCCCCAGACTCACTAGCTCGTGGTCAGTGTTGACCGAACTATCCTGAAGGTCTCTCAGGGCTGGGGGCCTGCGGGGAGGAGGGCTGGACTTCAGGAGGCCCTGGTGGATGAGCTTTGGAATTGCTGGGGCTGGGCGATGGTGCAGAAAGACCTGGAGGAGGGGGGTATCCATGTAGACCACACCCTTCCTTTCCCATGAAATTGTGGGGACTATGGCGACCCCCCACTCTTGTGTGCCTCCTATACACCCGCCTCCAGAGCCTGGCCTCGCTCACCCCTCAGGGCTCACTATCAGCAGGGGGCGGTAGGGGAGGAGAGGGCTCTGGAAAACCCCTTCCTGAGTCTGGCCTCTGCTGCTCAAGCCTCAAAGCAAGAGACCCTGCGCCCTAAACAACCCCACTGATGGTGTTTGGTGTGCGTTGTGGGTGGCAGGCAGGGCCCCCGGCTCATACTCAGGGGTCCAGATGGCCCAGTGTCCTCTGTCCTTGTGCCGGACCTCCCCAGCGGGGCTGTCCCATGGGGCCGGAGGTCACCGCCCGCCACTCACCCAGCCCACCATCTCCTCTCCTCCCAGCGCTGTGCTCCGGTCAGGTCTTCACCGAGCGCTCCGGGGAGCTCAGCAGCCCGGAGTACCCCCGGCCGTACCCCGGACTCTCCAGCTGCACGTTCAGCATCCTGTTGGAGGAGGGGTTCAGCATCCTCCTGGACTTTGTGGAGTCCTTCGACGTGGAGACACACCCCGAAACCCCGTGCCCCTACGACTCCCTCAAGGTGGTGCTCCTGGGACCACCCTGGCTGGGCTGCCCCATCTCTCCACCCTTCGCAGAGATGCCCCGGTGGTGGCTGAGACCAACAGAACGGTTTTCTCTCCCAGGGCAGGAGGCTGCACGTGCAGTGCCAGGGGAAGGCTTGCTCTCTCTGGGTGGCCTCTGAGGAAGGACCTCTTTCTCCAACTTGTTGCGCGGTCCTTGGTGTCTCCCTATGACTTGGCATTGGGTCTCCCTCGTCTCTGCTGGCTCTCCTGCTCCTTGAGTATTGTGTTCTGTAGAAACAACGACAACAAAATCTTCCTATTGTGAGTTAGGCCAAGGTGTACCAAGCAGATCATCCATTTCACATCCGACGATCGGTACACGTTCTGTTTCACCACATTCATTGCGATCTCCTCATGGCAACACCGCCCATCCCACCTCCTTCCTGTGTTTCCTGACTTCTTTCCTAACCTTTCTGAACTTTGTCCTTGGGCAAAAGCTGCCCCTGGATCCCAAATGTTTGCTTATTCTAAGGAGGGCACACATCGGTTGTGTTATCCTTCCCCTGATCGACCTGTCTACTGTTTGACTGAAAAATTGAGCCACGGGGGAGAACTCTGCCCCAAATTCAGCTCCAAAGAGTGAGCAAGGACCATAGTCTAGGGCTCCACCAGGCTCTATTCGACCAGCAAACCGGGCCTCTTTCATGATTCTGAATTTTGTTCCACATCCTTCCCCCATTCTCTTCAGGACCTTTTAGGCGGCCCAGCAGTTGGTTGTGGTACCTGGGCACCCCCTAACTCCTAAGGGCTCAGGGTGGTGGACCCAGGTGTTGGCAGGGTCCACTCGTCCATTACTGTAGCACTTTACTCGTGTCATTCTGTTTACATTTTGGTAGAGAGAGGCCAACAGTGGCACCTTCGACATCTGCTCTTGAGCTTTTAAGACCCCAGTCACTGCTCACTAAAGTCGGATGCAGGTGTCGCGGACTATGTTATGCCAGTTGACCTTGGCATCCCCTGAGACTATGGTCTTGAGCCCCCAGGCTCAGCGACCCATTTCCTTCAAGGCCTGGTTCTATCCAATGTGTTTCCATAACTTGGACCCTTGTGTGCTCGCACACACCCACGGATAGAGTGGCAAAGGTCAGAACCCATGCATAAAGGGCTTCTATCAAACCACTGTGTCTATGTGGGTCTTCTCCCTCTGCCTGCCACATCTGCTCAGGTCACATATCTCCATCCACATGTCTACTCACCGATGGGCGTGTCTACGACAGCGTTGGCCTCTGTTGATGGGCGGTGTCTACAACAGCGTTGGCCTCTGTTGATGGGCGGTGTCTACAACAGCGTTGGCCTCTGTTGATGGGCGTGTCTACGTGTCTACGACAGCGATGGCCTCTGCTGATGGGCGTGTCTACGACAGCGATGGCCTCTGCTGATGGGCGTGTCTACGACAGCGTTGGCCTCTGTTGATGGGCGT